CCAGAAACCCACTGGATTTCCCCGTATACTCTGTAATATAAGCTTTAGGCGACCTTTTATGTCTCTTAGAGACACATTTTCAAGGAGGATTTTGAGGCCTTTTAGTGACTGAAAAGGACTGGAAAAGTACAACATTACGGGGAAAAAAACGATGACTCGAAAAAAATCGCCGCGGGGGCCCCTTCAAGACCTCCGCGGCAAATTGTTAGGAGGTGGTCGCCTCCCCGCCCCCATGGCCAGTCCGCCCCTGAGTCCAAGGAAAGGTTTAAACAGGGTGTCCGGAAGTTAACGCACGTAACTTTCAGGGTCGATTTTTTCGACTCAAAATATGACTTTTGAGTGTTCACCACGTTAGTGATGTACGCTCTTCCCCGTCGTTTTGCAGCGGGTAGGTTCCTAATGTATCCATTGATAAAGGCCTGCACTGCTCCATGGGAATCGTCGCCATTTTTCGTGGCGGGAAGCAATACCTACTTTCTCAATTTTTTTATGTATCATTTCTACCTTTTTTCTCCTATTTTGTCCACCTTATGTAATGTCTGTAGGCTTGTCTTAGAGAAATTAATATCTTTACGTTTGAAAACTCTGCAACGTACTTTTATTTAATGACTCTTTCAAGGATCGTTCAATTTTTTTGTCGTCGCAGTTCTAGAAAAATCTTTGGGTACAAAGTACCCCGTCACTAATGACCCTTATATTTTATCCTATGATGACAGTGGAACCGTCATCTTGTTTCTACCTATGTTGAGAGCAAGTTCTTCTGTTAAGTTCTTCGATTTCGTCCGTGTTCCTCGCGCGATCGGTGTAAGTTGCTAAATCCGCCTCCCGCACCTTAATTGTTGAATCGATATTGAATAACCTGATCGATAAATAGCCCTGTCCATGTAGAGACCTATTCGTTCAGTGATCGACTCGCTGGACGGACTCGGTTCATCGAGTGGGGTAAGGAACTTGAACATGAAATATTGAGCGGCAAGTTTCACCGGTGCCGTATCTGCTGAAGCGCTCCATTACCGGCACTGTCGTCTTAAGAAAGAACGCTGTATTTGCATTTAAGCGTTGCCAAATTTCCTTTGATTCAACATAAATTTACTAGGAAAATTCCCAACATTTTTCATTTACTTTTTCAGATAGCTCTGTTCACAATTTCATTTAAATCATATGGAATTTTCAAGGTTAAATGTGCGTAACTTTTCGCAGGAATAATCATTATATCGAAGGCAATGCGGCAACTCTCGATTGCTTATACGGCGTTCTTCCATAGCACGGCAGCTAAGGAAAAACGTCGTATGAACCTTGAGGCGTTGCCTAATTTTCTGCGTTAAAACTCGAATTCTCTGGTAAATTTTAAAATATTTTTCTTCCAATTTTTCAGAGAACATTGTATTTTGATCTAAAGTTCTTGAAAATTTCAAGGAAAAATATTAATAATTTTCCTCATAAACAATCATTTTATCGAAGAAAATTTGGCAATTTTCGAATGTTCCTACGGCGCTCTTCCGTATCACGCAGCAGTAAGCGTCAACTTTTATCAACCTGTGAATTGTGAATCGGACGTTCGTAACTACAAGTGGCACCGCTGGGGCGACTGATATACAGTCGACAGCTTCTGACAGGATGAGAGTTGCGATTTCTTCGCAAATATGGAGCGCAGCCAATTCTGGGTGTGATTTCTGTGTCCTCCCCGAGTTCTCCGCCCGAGATTGAGTTGTTTGGATTTTCCGACAGGAGTTGGAAGTAGGTGCCTTCGGAGAGACGTGGGAATTTAGAGATCCTCGGAGACAGCATCGATCGTTGTTCATTTCGACAGCGGAGCCAAAGTTTTGCTCGTTAAAAATTATTGCGGATTTTCAATTTATTCCGGGCTATTCAGTCACTATTGTGCAGCGTTTTATAAGAACATTAAGAGAACATGACACTTATCAAGTCTCACGCTATACATGACACTTGGGGATGCGAGAAGCGTGCTTTCAAAATATAAATAACAGCTGAACAGTACGTGTCATAGTACGTCGGTCAACGTCATTGTAAGATTTTTGAAAACGAATCGAAACCAAGGCAAGCGTCTTAGTTATTGAAGCGCTCCGGCTTCATAATCATCAGCAGAACTTCGACTTTTGAAACATTAACTGAATAGGAAAATGAAGGGCCAAAATTAATATCTCAACTTTACCTCAATAAATGAAAATTCTTTGCTAAACGCGTTTCGAGGTCGTCGCAGCCTCATCTTCAGAATATGATCCTCGAGGGATGTTTCATCGGTTATGTAAAACATAAATAGGAAACCTTTGAAAACAAGCTCGTGTGTTGAATTTCTTTTTAGCCTTGAAATAGCACGTGCTATGTGTTCTTGCATTTTAAAGACGCTCGCTGTCCCTCATAAGCGGCCCGGAATATTTTCCCGTATACATACACCCTCAAACGCAATGGAGTTCACTCTCGGCTGCGCCTGGAAACACATTTCAAATTTTTTTGACGTGTTTTCAAGGGCTAAAGAGCAGTCTCATGTCTCGAGCAAACCTGTTTCAGTTATCATCGTCCTCCCGACGCGACGTATGGGCGCATCTTAATTCCTCCGTGAGTCCTGTTTCACGTATTGAGGCGCGCTCTCTGGGGCTCATGTCCGAATCGAGATACGCCATTTTGCTAGAGGAGCGACGTTATAATCCCCACGCTGAGCGGCTTCCTTTCTTTCGGGGGCTTATTTCGATTTTCCTCCCGACGGATTCGCACGAGGAAAGCCTGCCGTCACTTACGACGCGTTTTACGATCGTGTGAGCTCGTTACATCTGGATGTGTGGGCCGTGCCGCACAGTGGATCGAGTCAATAGGAGAGGTCGGACATAACTTGGAAACTTCAAACACCTATAACTCCGTTTATACAAAACTTTGAGGTTCTAAGTGTGGTTACATCGGTTCACCCGTGAAATTTTCTGGTCGAATCATTCCCCAAAATCTGAATTTCGACGAACTAAATATAAACATTTTTAGTTTTAGTTAAAAATTCCATGTCTGAACTCTTCGATTAATTCGATCTACTGTGCGCCGTTGTATCATCACCGGGGCTACCGTGCTAAGGAAAAATGCCGTATAAACATTCGATAGTTGCCAAATTTTCTCTGGTAATATTTTAATTTTTAAGGAGAATTGTAAAAAAAATTCTCTTGATATTTTCAGTGACTTTAGATCGATTGTGAATGAAATTTTAGTGAATATTTGCGCAGCGCGAAGCCAATGCCGTAAAATCTTAAAAGGAATCTGCAAAAATGATCTCCTGTAAGAAATTAAATCGCTCAGTCAAAGGTAGTAGCTGATAAAGCTTGGTTCCTCTCTCTAAACGCGGTTCAGTTTAGTGTAGAGCGCCTAATAAATGGACTAAATTTTGCAATTCGGGACTATAATTTCTGGCTCAAATGTGAAAACACTTATGTACTTGAGGAAACTAATGTTACATACGTTTTTTCTAATCTGAGCCAGAAATTATAGTTCTGAATTGCAAAATGTAGTAAAAACGTCCTTCTTTAAAATAATATTTTATTTTGGATTCCGCCTTTGATATTGTGTTTTAAGGAACTAAAATCATGTAGGTAGAATTGAGCAGTATACTTTTTGGGATGGATTCTTGCGAAGAATTACTGTTTTCACCTCTTACCTAAAGTACATAGTATAAAAGAAAATGTGCTAGGAATTCCACCATTTCCTAACCCATTCCTATAGATACCAAATTTGCAATTAACGAGGTTTGAGAAAATAAAAAAAAAAATGAGGCTGCATTAAATCTTTCCTATTCTCGGCGATGTTGTTAATCACCTTGTTCCAGAAGCACCACTACAAGCAAAGCATAATGAAGGAAACACTACAGGAGCATAGTAAAGGAAGGACGCGCGTTAATACGGCGCGGAGATACAACTATTCGTGTCTAATGGATGTCCGTATTGCGTCTCCAAAATTGAAGGCGCTATCTCGGGAAGCGTCAACTCGCAACGCTCCGCTCTATGCTGCCAATAAAGAGGTGTCGCCTACATTCGGAAGGTAAGTTTAAAAACGAGACCGAAAGGGAATATGTCTCAATTTAAACCTAAATTAAACGGTAAAAACTGCGAATTGGAACCTTTTCCTCTTTATTATTTCTGCTAAATCTGTTGTTAAGATTGTGTGAGTTTGTTAAATCATGGTCAATGCCAATTTTTTTAAAAACCTTTGTAAAATTATGATTCGACCTTTGGTGGAAAGTGAATTTTTTGTATCTCACCTTTTTCGTTTCGCCTTGTAATGTTGTCAAGATAGTCTTTCTCATCAAATATGTCACTCTTAATATGGGGGAATATTATTCGGATGTTTTACGAAGTAATGATCTCTAATTTTTCTATAAAATGAGTTCAACTGGATATCACGTTTTGATATCCGAGGTAAGAGCAGCAAGGCTCTGCCTAAAATTCTAGTCATCTTAATTTTTTGGAATGGGTTTTTGTCTTCGATCATTTATGCGAAGGTTCGCACTTTTTTCGCGACGTCTTTTAATGTTGTCAAAATATTCTTTCTCGCCCAATATGTCACTCTTAATTCGGGCGAATATTATTCGTATATTTTACGAGTTAATGATTTATAATTTTTTGTACAATGGGTTCAACTAGGTATCAAGTCTTGATATCCGAGGGAAGAGCAGCAAGGCTCTGCCTGAAATTCTCATCTTTGGTTTTTGTCTTCGATCATTTATGCGACAATATCATTCTCGACCAGTTCTCACTAAATATGTCACGCTTAATTTGGGCGAATATTATTCGGACATTTTACGAGATCATGATCTCTAATTTCTTATGCAATGGGTTCAACTGGATATCACGTTTTGATATCCGAGGTAGAAGCACCCAGGCTCTGCCTGAAATTCTAGTCATCTTTATTTTTTGGAATGGGTTTTTGTCTTTGATCATTTATGCGACAAAATCATTTTGGACCGGTTGCGAGGAGAAAATTGGACGAGGGAAGTGAGCGGAACTTACCTTCTTGCTGCGCCCAGTTGATCAAAGAATCCACTTTGGAAGGTGTGGTCGAGAAACAGTTCTCGAACTTGCCCCCGGCGTCTAATCCGACCGTCTCGAAGTTTGCTTTGACGCCGCACATCAGCGCGGTGGCGCATGCAGACGACTCTCCTATCTGCGCGTCCAGGTTGTACGTCTGCAACAAAAAACCACCGCCAACGCTTAGTTCGTCCATGTAGCTCAGACTGAAAAATTTTCAATACACCGAACCTCGGATTTTTATCCCGGCTTAGATTGAAGAAAAAATCTCGGTGTACTTACTAAGAAAAGGGTAAAATTACGAAGAATTCAGGGTTCTATTTGACCCCAGTTATTTCTTTGTAAAATTACCATTAACGGAATCTGTAATTTTACCGAGAAATCTCGGTAAAATTATTGAATTCCTCGGTAATTTTACTGGACCCCGGTAAAAACGCCAATATTTTTTTATCGACTGTGGTAGAATTACCGAGATACAATGGCAAAGTTACCGGGAATTGATTACCAATAAAAGTGGTATTCCTACCTGAGAAAAACAGTAGAAATACCGAGGCTTACCAGTTTGTCTTGGTCAAATTACCAATAATTGTTACTAAAAGTGAGATGGTAAAGGGTACCAACGGACCTTGGTAAAAACGCCGAGAATTCGTTTTCAGTGATATGTGGAGGTCGGCCAGTTTGGATTTTCTGACGTACCTTCATTGGGGTCCTTCGTGTTGGTTTTGTATGCGATCCTTTCACTGAATGATATAATTTTTGTAGGCTTAGAACGTTTTTGACTAGTATTTCTGACACACATGAATGTAAATGATTTTGGTAGTGGGATGTTTATCAAAACGTCCTCCTAACAACACTGGGGGGAAAAAAACACATTGGATTCAGAGTCCAGACTCGTAAAAACATCGACAAGAAAAAATACTCTTGATTCAATCGGATTTTTGCTTAAAGCAAGAACCAAGCCTCTTAATTTGAGCGGATTTCCTTTTGATCTAAGCAAAAATTTGATTGAATCAAGAGTCCATTTTCTTGTCAATGTTTTCAAGAGTCTGGACTCTAGATCCAATGTGTTTTTTTTCCAGTGAAGCCAAGCCTTCTAGTAATTTGCGGACTCTCGTTTCCTTCATTGATATTTCGACTCAAGTGGAATCGGGGTATTTCTGCGTCTTTACTCTTCACTTAAAGTGATGAGCATTTGTTTTTCACCCTCCCCTCGTCTATCATTTGCCCGTCATTCAGCGTTTGAAATTCCCTCGAGTCTTCGGACTGTTGAAAATCGGGATTGTCCGGGAATTGCTCCAGAAGTACGAAATGAATAACCACGCAATTTACCTGGTAATTTTAGAATATAAATGTGATTTTTTAAAGACCCATTCTCTTCCAGAAACACCCCTTCGAGTTTATATTTTGATGGATTCACATCAAAATTTGCAGTTCTAGTCCAAAACTGTTCCTCACTTAAATTATTTTTCCATCGTGCGGCGCGGCGCGCGGGGAAGTTTTTCCAACTGCCGCGCTAAGTAAAAATGCCATACGAGCATGTTGCCAATTTTCTCGTCGGTAAATGTTTATTTTTGAAAGGATTAACGAATTTTTGTCCTTTAAATTTTCAGACTTGATGAAATCTCAAACAAAACTCTCTGAAAAGTTGGAGGTGATATTCCCAAATTTTACCCAAAATTCGTGATTTTCCGAGTGGAATTTGGCCATGCCGGGCGGCGGTTGCGGCGTTTTTACTAAGCGCGAAAGAACATTCCGTTACGGCGCGCTGGGTTGAGAAGGAAAGCTCTGCGCCGCCTGGACTTTTCAAAAAGATGCGTTATTCAGATTTCAGGTCGGAGCATTTCACCCGGTAACTGAATGATTTATCAAGCTAAGTAGGGAGCACAGTCGCTCCGTTTGAATCGCCGCGCCGAGCGCTCCCTTGCCAGATGTCGAAGTTTCCACCCGTCAAGTTCAGGGTTTCAGCCGTCTCATTCGCCTTTCAGAATTTCTTTACGAGGAGATACTGGACAGTGAGGGATCAAATTCTGATTGCACCTGTCATACTCGGCTTTCATGGGCGGACTCGGTAAGGGGGCAGCGACCTTCCGAACACGGCCGAAGGGGGTCTAGTTGGAGCGAACTTCGGGAGTATCGAACCTAAACCTTCAAAATTATAAAACTTGACTTATATTTTCCCTAGTATTTGGGAGAGGACTTTCATATTGAGAGTAAATACAATACGAATTCATATCTGATCGGCTATACTTTATTTTAGGCCTTCAAAGTGTCATGAATGGGACTAAAGATTCCCTTTCAACAAATGCAAAGCTTATAAACTGGAATGGACCGGGAATTATGGTCATGGCAAATAACAAACGGAATGAAAAAGGGAACGGAAACAGGAATTCGGGAATGAGTTGATCAAAGATTACGAAAAACGTTCAATTCGTGTAATCTTTATTCTCGTTTTTGACATACATGAGTCCTGTTGTCTCGACTCTCCCTTTAAGGGGATTCGTGCGTATGTCATACTTTCTGTATTGTCAAATTGATTGAATTTTGCAGTTTGGAACTGCAATGTATCTGCCTCAGCTTCGAAATGACGTATGTACGATTTGGTTCTCTAGGCACATGAGTGGTCTCACAGGCGGGCTATGTATCGTAATTTGTAGTCAAAATGATTATAATCCCCCATAAGAATCCACTTCCTGAGTTTCACGACTGAATTTTGCTCGAGGTTTGGCAAAATTTTCTCGTCTGAATACAGTCACTTTCCAGCCAAAGTATCACAAGCGCCATGCGATGTTTCGAAATTCCCGCCGCCATTTCATTTTTTCACAAGAAAATCGTTGGTTGAATCTGCCTGAAAATTTAACGAAATTTTATCGGCAAGACAGAGAAAATTTGGTGAAATTTTCAAACAGTTTTGTCGAAAACTTTTCGGTCTTTAAATAAAATGTCGGTCGAAATTTTGTTATGTCGATTAGCGCTTGTCATAGTTCGGCCAGAAGGTGACGATATTATACTCTCTTCAGCATCTGCGTAAACCTCCCCCATTCAAAGCATTAACCATATTTACGGTATAAGCAACCACGCATCTAGGTTGCAATTTAACTCACTTCCTGTCTTATTTTATTTTTTTAATACAATATCACTTAACGGCAATTCTTAATAAGTGTCGTGATTTTTCTCTCCCGTGCGAAAGAAAATTGCGCATAAATGAAAGCTACCGACATCCATTTTTTTCTGGTTGAAAAAAAGACAATAGGAGAGAATATTTTGTGTCACTCCTAAGGAGATACATGTTTGCGGACTTACACCATCGATGCAGCAACCGTTTCTCCCCGAATTATTCCGTATCAACGTATTAGACTGTGAATGTGGCTCCACAAAAACGACCTGTAAGCATTTCGGGGTAGAAGTCCCCATTTCCGGGGAGCCCTGCGACCCACTTTTGTCTGGGAGCGCTGAATTATGTGGCCACACACCAGGAATTGGTCAGAATTTCATGGAATTTGTTGGACTGATGTTTTTGGGTCGCTATATTCAAATTTGACTCGAGTTTTACGAAATTTTTCTAACAAAGATGGCGGCAGACTCTTTGTACCATAATACTAGAAAAAAGTCATATCATGATTAGAATACCATATTAAGTGTAAGTTTAGTGCTTTTAAGTTTACATAACTACAATTTGAAATCAGTTTTACAATAATCACGAGTTTCCTGAGGGAAAAGCCTCAGAAACAAAATTGTATTCAGAATAAGTTCATAAATGATAGAATCGAATAAACTTACCGCTCCGTTTTTTGTTCTATCGACCCACATTGACTGGAGCTTAAGTTCAGTAGATTGCACTTTCAATATGGTGGTATCCATGTTAGCAAGACAGCAATGCATGCGTATAAATGCGAACCTGAAGGATGGCAAGGAAAGGGGAGGGGAGATATTACGCACATAGTGTTCCACCTCCCTGAACAAAAAACAGTATCCCTTAGATTTCCATGTCTAGCGGTTTTTTTTTCTTTTTTTTTTTCTCTCTCTCTCTTTTAATTTACTTTTTGAGCGTTAAACCCTGCTATGGATTCAGAAATGGGATTTTTGGCTCCGATTTGGCGCTCCCTGACCACGGTGCATCGTGTGGGTCCCGGTTCAAAAGGGATCGCAGGGGTCCTCGACGCGTGGAGAGTCGCGACTCGAGCACTTCGTTAGTGGAGCGCACGACGACATAATCAACCGACCCGAGCTCGAGCGGTTAGTCCCAGCGCCTGCCAACCCGTCGCGACGCAACACGCAACGCAACGCCCGGAACCCGTGAATGAACGGACATCGCGATGTCCATGACCCCTCCCTCTTCTGCGACCGAATCTCTGAAACGGATTCCCCAATAGAAATTACCTTCAATCAGCACTGATAAACCAATCTCTAAAATCTGTCGAAACGTTCATGCGGGAAATTCCTTTCGGACTTCTGAAAAAGGAATTTGTACTCCTCATGAAATTCACGTACGATAGACTTTTAATAAAATACTTTTATTTTTAGAGGTTTTAAACAGTTTTCCCCCATCTTTGGCCTTTTTCTTTTTCTCTCTTTTTTTCATTAAAATTTGGCTTCTTACGACTGAAACCCATTTTGGCCTGTTTTGAGGTAAAACTCAACTCTTCATGAAATTCTCGTGATAAGTAACTTAGAGGAATTACTAATATTTCTAGTATTTCACAACAGCTCTCCCCTCCCGATAATTTTAGTGTTGATGTATCATCTTTATATTTTGAAAGTCTTGAGTCTTGCGTACTCAGTTACAAGCTCTAATAAAAAAATCTCCATCAACTGTTGAAATTTTCATCTAGGAAACCTCGTTTTGGCATCTGTATACAAAAAAAAAAAAAAAACAAATTTCGAAAAATGGGACCATGTAGATCCTGAAAACCGTCCAGAATTGAGATAACACAACTTTCAGGTAAAATGATGAACTTGATTTTCCGACTTTTTTTACCATGAAATGTCCTTTATGTGAGATTTACGCCCTCAGACAAACAAGGAAGACACCTGTTCCTTATACCTCAAACATTTGTAATGCATTTAATATCCAGGGTGTTCGAAAAGTCCCCTCCCCCCCCTCTAACTTTTGACCTAATTGAGGTAGAGATTTGAAACTTGGAGGGTGTTCCTAGATCA